ATTCTTCTACCAGTCCTTCCTCACCCTAAACGAAATTGGGTAAATAACTCTCAGTATAATTAACTTAGAATGATCAAGCTACACGATTACAGAAATATTAATATCACTTCTTTACTTTAAATGAAGACCATATACTGAGAATTTAGCATGAATTCTGTTATTGGTTAATAAAAAACTTCAATTTTTTAGCGTTTATAGGGCTATTAGTTATTCGTACCAATTCGCTTAATCCGCTTTGTTCGAATAATGTCCATGCTAAGAATATATTTATTATTTTTATTTAACGAGAGCTATTTAAAAATCCTTATACATTCATACTTGATCGAGTCTTGGAAAGTTTCTTTTGGTTTAGGATATTTTTACTCTATTTCGTAAAGTATTGAATCTTGCTCTGATGCTGTCTGTCACGGCAATACAGGCAAGGGCTTAGCACAGATTCATTGCAGTCGCAAAAGGGTGAGCCGAGGACTTCTTAGCACAATAGAACAATCTTCACTACGCGGCAATCCTTCTTTGGTTCTCAGTGAGATCCCATCACAAATTCCTTCCAGACAACTTTTCCCTCGAAATGAAAAGTCATGTCCCAACATATCACTAAAGAATTACTCGAAACCCAGATTTTTTCTTCATATAAATTCTTAATGATTTTTCCTAATCATAAAAAGCCTTTGCCTATTGTTCTATGAATTGCCTTTTACAACGCTAGTGTATGACGATAAATTATGTTATATTTTGACAAAAAAATTTGAAACATTTGCTTAGAGGCTTTGGAGATTCAATTTACATGTTTTCTTCTGTAAAAAGAAACTTCACCTAAACATTTTTAAGCCAGAATCATATTCGGTAATATAAGTTACATGAGTTTGTTCATCCTTTTTCGTTAAAGGTGATGAAGGACCGAAGGTTGATTTTTCCCACAACTTATATATCTAATTTACTGGTAGTCTCAAAAACCTACTTATTTACTAACAAAAATTTAAGTTATGCCTGGTGTCCCCTTCAAACACTTTAAGTCCGAAAAAATAAATATTTAACAATTTTTTATAAGTTTAGTAGAAGAAAAATATTGAAAAGTCAGAACTAAAAATATTAAGATATTGTGTATAATTACTAATGAATCAAGTTTGGTGACCAGAAACCCAGGTTTACTTTTTATCATCAACTAAGGTACTCATTACATACTGATGATGGCTAAAAATAATAGATCTAGCTTAGATAGCCTAAGAGCAAATATTAATGGATTTGTTGAAATATGTAATAACCTATTTCATGTTAAAATACAGGATAGTATTTTATTTATTGCTTTAATCAGCATGAATAAAATTATGACTACATTTGTAAATGATTAAGTATTTAGGATTAAATGAAATAGGATTTTTTATTTGATCACCACATCTAAAACATAGGGCTGAAAATAGATATAATTATTTTTATAAGTGCGTTTGTACAAAATTAAGAAAATAAAAAGTGAGCTACGACTCAGCTCACTTATATCTCAAAAAGGATAGCAACTAAGTTTGCCAAATTGCCCACGAATAAGGAAGCTTACTTGTTACTTGCAAAAGAAGAGACCTTTTGGTTAAATTAGTATGTTTAGATTCCCTATAGATTTAAAATCAGCGTATTATAGGAATCATCCATAATGATTATATTCTGTAATTATTTAGTTTTATGAGAGTTTCTACAAAATCATTTTAATTTTATAGATACATTTACAATACTTTTGTATAACTACGCTTGTGTATATGATTACAACAAAATATGATGTGGATTATAGTATAGACATTCCACAGATCTTTTAAAATTTAGCATAGGCCAACTCTTACGAATTAACCTAATAGATAAATATAAATTTTGAGCAGAACTACCATTTCATCAAGTGAATCCTTAATAATGCCAGAGGTCAGTGCACATCGAGTCGAAATTGTTGCTCCTGTGCGTTTTATTGCAAGGTTTGATAAAAGCTAGTATATCAGATAAGAGATGTGTGCTCCTTTCATGAACATATTAAATTCACCTTTAACTAATTAAGATCTATTTAAAATTTACCACATACTTTAAAAAAATTACATTTTAAGCCGAATGAAAATATTTAATAAACATATCTAACTGCTTATTATTGTGTCAACAAAACGTTATCTTCCTGAATGTACATTTACCTATTTGATCTTTTAGCTTCATAAAATATCACTCTAGTTAACTTAGGCGCCATAAGAATTTATAGTCTATTAAAACAAAATAATTAATTTATGTGCTCTCTAAGAAATAGAGATTGTACTATAATAAATTCTGAAAATAAGCAGTTGTAATGAGTGTATAGACTGAGGAAATGGTTAAATCTACCTCCTAAATACAATGTAGCTCTGGAGTTCTAATTATATATGGAGCTGGGTCCTGGAAACATTTTTATTATTTTAAAAATCTGTGCGTTTGACACACACACACACACACACACATTTATGCTCGAGTCCGATAAATTGTCATGGCCTCACCTGTGGATAAGCACAAGACTGCGTCTATCCTCGATATCCTGTAATGCACGCAGTAACATCTTTCTACGCCGAATTGCGTTTTGTCTTTCCTGCTGTCGCCTCTGGATAACTTGTTCATCGTCGTTTGACGAGTAATAACAGTTGTCCTCTTGTTCTCTCCTGATTTCTTTCACGTGTCTGAGTTCTTCATAGCTGGAATCTCCTTTAGCCTCAGGTCTTGTGAGCCAGTTTTCTGTCACTTTAAGCCAGCAGGTCTCTTTTCCATGTTTGATTGGATTTTCACATCCAGAATCCTCGTCCAATCTGATCTCACCTGATACAGACGAATTGGTACCTGATCTTATTTGAATAGTAGAATGATTTTGTTTGCTGTCTTGTTTTTCCGACCTCCTTAAATAGCGTCGATGAGGAAATGCTTCAGCGTCTGAGAGCATCATTTTCTCCAGAACATCCGAAAGCTCAGCTTCTGCAGCTAAAGTAATTCTAAACAGACGCTCACTAAGGGAAAGTGTGCGCGCCAGGCTTTTACATGATACTAGAGGGCCCCAGAAACCGGAGCATAATTTTGAAGCATTTGAAAATGTACAACCAGCAGCAGATGCATTAGCCGTTGGGCATCGTGGCAAAAGGCAGATGAGACAGGGACCAAGAACAAGTCGCAGGTGTACGGCATGCCGGGAAGGTGGACAAATGGTGAGACCAAGTGAAATACTGGGTGTCCAGCCAGAAGCTACAGCATCCAAAACCGACATAAAAAGCTTGATTACGAAATTGTGAAGTCTTCTGAAATGGGAGCATGGATCACAAGCCATAGGCAATTGTATTAATGTTAATAATTATAGCAGTGTAATAACCGAATGGATATATCGGATGAACAAGGAGGGGTGTTTAAAACTTAATATAAATTTCTATATGCGCCTTAAGATAAAAACTATGGAGGATCAAAGCAAATTCTTGACTACCCTTCTCATGTGTATCAATAATCTCCAATAAAGAATGATAATAAATATGCAGATGCAAATTATGAAATATATTAACCAGGTTTTTCTGCAATCATACATGACGATATAAGGCAAACTTCACATTACAACCATACAACCTTTTCCAAATGTATTCCCTCTTTAGAATAGATTGGAATTCTTAGTTCATTTAGGGCTAGCCAATATACCTGAAATAGCTCAAACTTTTCCTCTCAAACGTTAGCGTTAACTTTATATTTTATTATTTATTTCGGCGATATGAAATACTCTGTTATTTGTATCAAAATGGAATCTTAGATTCCATCTAGGAAATTTATTTCATTGTTTTGAAATATCTTGATTAAAGTCATATAGGCAGATAATTATCTCCATGATATTTGAGTTAAACACCATGAAAGCCAGAGTGAATGATAAAATCTTCTAAAAGCTAACCTTATTGAGTATGAGTTCATAGATCTTATAGCAAAATCTCTAATTCAGAAACACTGCTAAATTTGTTCAGCTATTTATTCTATAAGAGATTCATTTGATTCATTTGTTCATTCTGATTTGCTGAGTTTGTTTACCATAAGGTCAGATTTTATATAGTTACATAAATTTTCTTTGTCTTTCTACTATTACATTCAGGGGTATAGTAACTGAATGATTAACAACTTTTTTTGGTGATCATTTTGTTATGAATGAAATGACGTCCAAATCATTTTATGACAGAATAGTCAATTACATTATTGTGAGCCTATCAGATGCAACTTTTCCTAAGACTAGAAATTTGCCTTGATGCATCAAAACTTACTCGTAATATTACCGGCATGCTTACTATAAAGCCTAAATTTATATCTCAAGTTTACTTAAACTTTGTATTTTTACTGGTAAAAATGATATAATGTGATAAACTAAGAATTTTTCTCCATAGAATTGGGCTTGATGGAGAGATAATTTGGAAAATGGAGGATTTTGAGCTATAATGCACTTTTAGCATATGAAAATTCTACATAATCTTGATTTCCCTAGAGCTATCAATCAACTCACATGTATTAGGGATCAGGACTTTATTAGTGATGCCTTTTATACTTTCTAGTTAAAATACTCTCCCTAGTCCAGGTATTGGAGAATCACGGTGTAGAAAATTTTACTATTACAGATCATGTCACGTAGACTGCCCAATGGATTGAGATAGAGCATTTATGCTTAATACTCTACAAGCTCAGAGGCCCATACCCTCATTCTTTACAATGGAGGCCATCAGACCACGTAGCTTGTAACAATTCATTTTGCTAAATACACACTTTTGTCCCAACTATGACATTTGTGGGGAAGGTGTTTTTATCGTTTTGGCCTATTAGATTATTTAAATTATTTTAACAGAACATATTAAACTTAAAAGTAGATAAAAATACATATTTAATTATTAAATTTTTTTATTTTCAATTAAATAATATGTAAAATATTATGTTTTTAAATAAAGTTAAACAAAATATTTTTGTCTTACTATCATGTTTGTACATGAATTAAGAAAGCTCTCAAGAGGACAGAAGACATAAAATTTCTATCTATCGATATTTTACAAAATAATTATTGTGGAAAGATGCATATTTACAATTAATTAATTAAGTTTTAACGTTTATTTTTTGCTCAGATATATGTAAGATACCTACCATTTGATTTTAGCCTGTCGATTTTATTCCAGGTGCTACCAGGTGAAAGGTCAGTCCCTTTCATTATCTTCGTTTTTCCGTTACGTGACTCCTTATAAAAAAAATATGTGTTTGCATATTATTAAC